CTGTTCCTAAATGTACAGGTTTGTTTCCTCTTCCTAAATGTGTCCTGGAAAATGCAAATGAAATGTAAAAGAGAGGTTCAATATTTGATTATTCCCCCAAAGTTCCTTAAAGTTAAGATAATCTAGAAAATATCAGTGGTATATGGAGACCTTGCCTTTACCCAAACATCAGGACAGCAGTCAAAAAGGATGTATTAGACCCTTTATATTTTTATGTGGCAGTTTTGAAGAAAACAGGGAATAAATGGTCATAGCAAAGATTTATTTAGGATATTCTCTATGTGATTTAAGTATTTATTCAGTTAATCTGTCATTTTAATCATTGATTAGCTAGTCACTTAATTATTTATTGGTGAAACAATTGTTGCCAAAGCAATGAAGTCATAGTGATACTGCACAAGATCACTTACTATAGCTACAGTATTAAGATATTTTTTTCTTAAGGTCTACTCAAAAACTCAGCAACATTTTTTAAAGACTAGACTGTTCAATATACTCATGGGTTCTACAACACAACTACATAATAGAGACAAGAGTCAGATAAAAGCTGCTAGCTTGTGCCTGGAAACGAATGCAGATGCATATGGTTTAGTTAGTTTTAGCACACTGTTTCAGTCAAGCGTTTAATCAGAAAAGAGGAAGTAATCCCGAAAAGCAGGGCTGATATCTTTTTTAAACTTCTCAGCCCATCACATTTAGTTTTAGGAGGCAATGTAGGATTAGTTCAATGTCATTAGTATAGCACATTTTTAAAAATACACAATGCAAAATATAGCCAAGGAAGATATGGCATTGAAGGGAAGACTGGAGTAATGAAACATAATTAATTTAGCCCCAAAGACATACAAATCTCATTCCTTAAATATTAGCTTCATAGCTACAATATATTAGTTGCAACGCTTATATTAGCCCTTTGATGTTATATGTTATGTTACACAGGGTTAACTTGTATTACATGATTCTTTGTAACATTATGTAATGTAAAACATTGAAAATGTAACCTTTTCCCCTTACAAATCTTTCTCCTATAGCTCAGGGATGTTAATATACTAGTCTCTTCACATCTACATCACCTTGACTAGAGCAAGGCGACAAAATGGTGTGGTGTTGATCTCCCAATAAGTGTGATTTGTGCTCTGCACTTACTCCCTTGCCAAATTCACTCCCTCTTATTTTTCCCGTAGACTTCCAATTGGCCTGTTTGCAGGAGACTGTTCATTGGTTTTAACAGGAGTACTTGCATTAGCAAAGCAAGGTGGATTTAGACATTTTGAAGTTGGACTGTAGATTATAGATGGCTTTTCTAGCACTGACAAGTCATGCCTCACAGGTCTCTTTCTCTCCCCACACCTTCCATCACAGACTCACTCCATCCTAAAGTTATACCTACCCCTTCACAAGCCTCACCTTTCCCTGTTCCAAACCCATGCCTCCACCTCTAGGGTTGCATCATTTCACTCTGGCAGAAACTGAACTAAGGTCTTCCCACCAAATCATGCATCTTTTGTCAACGCGGACACACTCTTCCCCAAATAGACTTCTGCTGGCTGTTGTGAAAAGGAGTCCTCCAGTGTATTTCCCTCAATTCCTGATTGATTGATTGACAGGGGGTTCTCTGACTCTGTTTCCCCATCTCTAGGGTGCTGGGAAGGGTTTGAATGTCACTGTGTTCCCTCTCTTGACTCAAGGAATGATGATCTGTACTTCTTATCCAACCCAACTGCTGTATGTGTATGTAAGCTCTATGTGCCGTTCTCCTCCTGTCTCTGAGCTGCTCAGAAGAGGAGATTCTATTTTCTCTTCTCTGTGTCCTGATGGCTTTCTTTCTCCTTCGATGGAGGTGGGAGTAGTATGGTTTAGGTCCTCAAATAGATACTTAGCCTGATAAACATTTATTAGGCAGAGCAGAGAGTACTAGTGGGTTATTGCTTTTCTTGGGGAATTTAAGACCATACCTGGTGGAGCACGATCAGTGATGTGGAGGTTAGCATTATCTGTCTATCTAATCTATCTCTCAGATTTTTTTTTATAGTATCACTGTGGTATCTATGCTTTGTTATCACATTGCCAGCCAAGATTGTTGAGGAACATTACCATCACAATGTAATGCTGGTAATAATTTGTGACAGTCCTCATTTGATTCTTGATTAGAGCCGGGTCTCTAGTAAAGATGACTCTACTGAGAAGACTTTCCTTTCATTTACTTGATTCTTGGAATGGTGAAATACTAATAGAAAAAAATGGGGAATTCCAGGGAGGGACAATTTAATATTTTACAATTCCATCTTGAGTAACTATGCATCAGTTAACAGGGACTGACTAATTGCTACTGAGAGTGACTTCAGCAATAACAGGTTGGACAGTTAATGGGTTTGATGAACAATCTCCTGTCCTTGCAGGGGCAGCTGCACTGAAGAGGAATTTGCCCCTAGGAAAGATGGCAGCAGTAGTATCTCATTCATTACCTAGTTGTTCTAAGGGCAACTTTAATTCATGGCTGACACTCCGTAACAGCCCTTGCCACTAGAGACTGACTGAGGTGTATGCTGAATCAGACCCTAACTATCTTCTCCCTCAGTACCACAGGGATTCAGGCGAGTCTCATCTTATGCACATTTAACATGCGCGAATTCAGCTTTGTGCGGTTGGCAAAAACAGAAAGGAAAAAAAAAAGAGAAAAATAACAATTTAAATACTGTACCTGTAGTGCAGGTGATTCCGCTCGCCATTACACTCAATGTAACTTTGACTATGCGATTTTCGCTTTACGCGCTGACAGTGGAAAGTAACCCCAGCGTAAGATGAGACTCGCCTGTACTTCTGACTGAGTAATTTTGAATTGTTTTGTAGTTGAACACTTCCTGCCCCACAATGAGTAGCTATATTAAAAGAAAATCCCAAACATATTGCATCTGCCCTCTAAAAAGCAAACAAAAGCTATGGAATTTTTTTTTTTGAAAATGGCAGCACTGCTGCAGTCAATAAAACAGTATCAAAAGGGAAATAATAAAGCTTTGTACTTGTAGCGCTGTTCATTTGACGATCTCCAACTGCTTTACAAATAAGTAATAAACATTTATCAGGCAAAGTACAGAGTTGAGGCTCTAAACCACACAAATAGTTAACATTATCTATGTATGTAGTTCAGGATGATAAGCATTACGTACATTTAAAATATTCATATTCTGTTAAGACAATATTAAATTATCTCAGTAAACACCAGGGTTGCCAATAAGCGTTACAGGCTAGGCTATTGGAGCATTGGAAATGCTGAGTCTCACAGGTGAATTGGATAGTGTTCTTTCCCTGCAATGTTTATGGAGGCACTTGGTATTGTTGAGATTGTAAAAAGTCTTCATGTATTCTTTTTTTTTTTAGGCAAGGCCATATGTGCTGCCTTAAACTGATGCATGCATGTCTCACTGATGTAAAATTATACAGAAATTTTTCAAAACTGTTTGTAGTGTAAGTTTTACAAGTCATTTTTTATTACTGGGAATTTTACAAACGCATACAGAATATTGAGGCAGGATATGATCTGTAAGCCAAATTGTGTAGTAGATTACACATACTAAGGTCCATTTTGAACATAAAACATTCTGTTTTAATTCTTTTTGGAAACTACTGATTCTGAGGAGACCAAATGATTGAGATTTCATTTTATTTTCTGGTGTGATTTTGCTGGCTTTGGAGTGTCGTATGGAAGGAAGATTCAAAATTCAGAACACTAGTCTGACCCTCAAGAATGCTGGTCACATTGAAGTTTTGCTCCAGTTCTTTCTTCTTTGAAATGAAATGTTGTTCTTGAATAGTAGCATTCATTGAAAATCCTTTGCTACAGATGTGCCTATAAAGGTAGCAGACTTTTAAGATAAGAGAGCTTTATCAGGGTAATGTGACTATCCTAATTTTGTCCTTTGAATCACAGTATTTCATATGTAGTTTGTGTACATTATGCATTCACATCTACAGGTGTTAGTAACGTTGTCAAGTTCTTACATACACAGAATTAATTTAGATATTTATCTCCCTCTAAAGTTCCTTCCACCTTCTCTTCCTTATCTGGTCAGTTTGCTTGAGGATTGGTGTGTGTATGCCTCTGGGGAGGAGGGTATTAGTGGGAGCTTTCTTTTCTCTCTTGGCTTGTTCTTTGTTTTTATGTGATATGTTGGCTTGAGGGCAGGGGAATTAAAGTTCCCACTCCTCAAGTATTTGGGCCAGATTCAATTCTGCACCAAGATGCACTCAGCACTGGAGAGAGGTTGGAAGGGAGTTGAGGGGAGGCTTAAGGAGGGAAATAGCATGTCAGATGAGAATTGCTGTAGGAACTCTGCTCTCTCCTTGGCCCTGTCATGCCCTCTTCCACCACAACATACATCCTATTCTGGGGATAAAGGAGGACTCGCATAGAGCCTGGCTCTCTTTAAGATAGTTGAGAATTCTCCTCCACTAGGGGAATTCTCATCTGGCAAACTGTGGCCAGATTATGTCCCCTTTGCGCTGCTGAGGTGGTGGAAAGAGGGCAGAAGTGAGGCTGAGAATCTATCTCCTTTTCTGTTTATCTTTTTGTGAGAGAGTGGTTTTTTTGTTGGTGTAGATTAGAAGATGACTGTGTGTGGGAGGTTATGATGAGCAAAGGCACTGAGGTTACTGAAGACTCAGGGTGAAATAAAATCAGAAAATCCCATTGGCTTCCATTGAAAAATACTTGAGCAGTATAGATGGAATGACTAACTTAGAAACCTCTTGCAAGCAGGCTTGACTGGTTAATGCCTGATCTGTTGTTACTACGGCTCACACTTGATGATTCTGAAGTGCCATGTCATGCAAATTTGGCATGTGGTTGGATGAAGATGCTTGGCTGGTTCTACACAGATAGTCAGTGATCACTAGCCTCAAGCAGAATAAAGAAGTGGGCCAATAGCTGTGATATTTTCATGCTTCTTGTAATGTAGGAGTTAGTCAACGACGGAGATGAGTTTGTACAAGCATATGGCTGTTTTGTATATCCATGGGGCTATACCAAGTTTTGTGATTGCAGAAGGCCTCATAGATGAGTATAGTAAACTGGTGCTGGCAATGCAGTTGAAGTCCTCCTGGATTAGAATCCTTGGGAATTTTCAATGTACGTTTGGACAGCAGATTGGATAGTCTGGTCTGTGTGCTCCTTGAAGTGTTGGATTGTTTTGATTTTTTTCCCCACAGAGGCTTGAGGAGTGCTCTAACATGACCAGCCATATGCTTAAATTGGGTCTGCAACTATCTCAATATTTGGTGTTTTTCTTAAAGCCCCAGCTCCCGGAGTCACGGGATTATGTGAGAATCTCAGCTTTCATTTAAACAAAAAGTTTCTAGTCTTTATATTTTCAGAGAAAAAAATTGAAAAAGTGAAATCTAAGCATTCAAAAACAAGAAGGTAGATAACCGCATCCCCCAACAAATATATATATTTTTAAATCTCATTGTTTTTAAGACAATTTTTGACTTTGGGTGGCAACCTGACTCATGATTTTTGAATGTTTGAGGTTGGCCATACTGGGTCTGCTTTAGATTCTTGGATTTGTAGATTAGCCTGTTGAAAGATCTGACCATACCCTCATGTATTTCGGTGCATGGGTTATTCCATACTTCTCTCCTTCCTTACCACCAATGGACCACCATAGATTAAACGTTATTGCCAAAAGATGAACCAGATGGGGCACAAATTGGGGAGGAGATGACTGGAGTCACCTGGATTAATTTCTGATTGTCTGTTGTTGGTTTTTCTTCAGTAAAGTAGAGCACACTTCATACTGAAGAAAATATTTGACACGTTTACTGGTTCTGTTTGAGAAATATTAATAAACATATCTCAGTTTTTATCTATGTATTCATAAAAAAATAATTGATGAATTGGTTTGCAAACTGAATCTGTTCTTTGGTGTGGGATTTGAAATTCAAAGACTGAGTTGTGTTCCTCAGTTTTACTTGGTCACATGAGCTACATTGTATTGCTTCTGTTCCCTGATTGGCTCCTTGTTTGCTATTTCTCCCTCTGATTCCTTTTTTTCACATTTGCCCACAGTGGACTCCTTCTCTTTGGTTCATTTTGAATGTTAAGAGGGTGCATTTTTAGATGGCTATAGTGATTTATTGTATTTTTTAAAAATATGTTTTTACAGAATTTTGGTGAGCCATGGGCAGGAGCGCTATAATAATTATTTTAGAAACCTAGAGTTACAACTCAAAGATACACTTCTACCTTTCTACCTCAAAGTTAAAACAACAAAATGATAATAAGGTTATTATTCGAGCTGGCTGACTACAGTAGGATTATCTGCAATCTTTTACTCCGGGATACCTGAGTCCAAATCGAGATGAGATTAAATAAATTTCACAGAACTGTTCCTGTTAAATAAAATAGTATATGTATAATATATCACAAATTCATTAGCTGCAATACAGCTTTACTTCAGAAGATACCAACTGGTTTGCTTACCTGATAAATATAAAGAGAAAATTTATTTTCCTGACAACACAGCAGAGCTTCTGCTAATCTTCTTTAAAAGTCACATATTTATGTGTTGTCCACATAGAGCCAAATGGGAATTTTGCCAAGGTAAGGATGGTTTGAGGTCTGCAGAATTGGTCTACAGATGTGAACAACAACTTCATTACAAGTTTTACCACAAATAACTGAAAAAATTGTCACTTCAGCTTAATAAAACCCCATCTTGTATGTGTAAACAATATATTATAGTCTGCTAAGCTCCAGCTAATCTTTATATAACTTAAGATCCTCTCTCTGCTGCAAAATATTATCCTTTGTTGGGAGAAAGGTTTAAAAAATGAATTAATTGGAATGAGCTTTCATTTCATATTTGTACTGCCAAGATTGCAATGAAAAACTATTTTATATTTGTTTCCCCCAACAGGACAGTTTGCAAAACGAAAGAAGACTTCTCTCTGGTTCACAGTTTCTCTGCTGGTAGTGTCTGTGTTCATACTGACCATAGGACTTGCAGCTACCACAAGAACAGAAAATGTTACCGTTGGAGGCTATTACCCAGGAATCATTGTGAGTAGAGAAATGTATTTTAGATTATCCGTTATTACCAATACGCTATTATGGCATAGACACAAGCAACCACAATTGATGAAGGAAATTTCAAACTCTGTTGCATTACTGGTGAGGGAAAACCTAAAGTGCATAATGTTTAGATCTAGTTCTATTATGTTTGAGATTCAGATGTAGGCCCTAATCCCGCAACTTGTGCATGAAGGCTGACCACTGTGCCTGCGTGGATCCTCACTGAATTTAATGGCTTTCTGCACAGGCACATGGACTCAATTTCAAGAATGGGCCATAATTTTCTACTGTATGTTAGAAATGACTTTCAAATCACTTAATTCATTATCACAGCCTTGATTCTTAACTGGACTTTTAAATTATCATTTAGTAAAAGAGAGATTATAAGTACCACTAAATACTCTGCTTTTAACGACTTCAAAAGGTAGTTTAGCAATAACTTTAATTTCATTGACTTCAATAGGATGGATCATTCACTTGCTTAAAGTTAAGCAGATGCTTAAGTAAACTGTTGAATTGGGACCTGAATGATTACAGTGTATTATTAGCTCTTGTTCATAATATAATCATACATTTTAAGAAAAGGGATGAGTATCTGTTAATACTATGCATAAATTTTGCATTGCCAATCGTTATTTGTAAACTACAATTGTTCTTTCTAATTAAGTTTGCTAATATGTTAAAGTCATGCTGAGAACATATTTGTTGGAAGGATTAATTTTAGGGTAATAATCTATATTAAGTGGTGTTTAAAAATGGAATTAAAATCAGTTCCAGGAATAAAATTTTAAAAGACTGCATTGTCCTTGGATCAGTTAAAATATGTAGACTAATACAATGGCCTAGTCTTTAAATAGTTATTTATAATTGTAATTAAAACATTTTAAAAATAAACTTTCTACAGTCATTCCATTGGAGGAAATTTAATGGGTAATAAAGTTCATGTGCGCAAAGCAGTTAATTATAGCAATTAGTTTATTTTAGGGAGAAAATGTCTGTGTACTAAACAGAAAAATATTTCTCTAGAGCATTTTTTAAAAATTAAGTGTTATAGGTTTTTATTTAATAGGCTGATAGAATAGCTAGAAATGTTCAGAATGATTTGCAAACGAAAACCTTTTAATAATGAATTTTCCCTCTATTTCGTTTTAAGGCTGTTAGAGCTGATGACATTTTGTAAAAGCATGGTCATATTTTACACATTTGTGGTTGATCATTGTAGTAACTGAGAAAGAGCAATGATTAATACATCAACGTCACCCTGTATTGATACAATTACAGCTTTTGATAGTGTGAGATGGCAACAGCTTCAACTCCCATTGACTTCAGTGAGAGCTGAAGAAGCTGAGCGCCTTGCAGAAAGTATTATCTAAGAGGAGTATTAACATACTGTGATAGACCCAGGCCAGTTGGGTATAGCAGAAGGCAGATATACTGGCCACGGGATTAACAGTTTTCTGTTCCCTGACTGACCAGAGCAGGGGCTGCTCCAGGCTAATGAGAACACCTGACTCCAATTAACCTGCGAAGAGTCAGGTGAGGGCATTAAGCTAATGTGACCACCTGACTCTAATTAAGGCCCCGCTGATACTATAAAAAGGGCTCACTCCAGTCAGGCAGAGGAGAGCAAGGGAGCCAGAGGAGAGGAAGTGCGGCTGAAGGGCTGGTTAATGAAGACACCCTCAAGTTATTGGTAAGAGAGCCCTAAGGTAAGGGTGAAGAAGGGAGAAGCAGGAGAGCTGTGGGGAAGTGGCCCAGGGAAACTTAGCAACTCTGGCAGTGAAAGGTTGGCTGCCAACAGCTGCTACCATTAGGGTCCCTGGGCCGGAACCTGGAGTAGAGGGTGGGCCCAGATTCCCCGCAACCCACCACTACAGGAACACCTACTGGGAGGGGAAGTCAGGCGGACAGGAGACTAAACTGTTCTAAAACAAGCCCTAGGGACAACAGAGACTGTGGGAGTTCTCTCACCAACCTCCTTGCTGGCTTATGATGAAAAGGGCTCAGTAGTCTGTAACCCTGGCCCTAGAGAGAGAAGGGCTACGTGGAGGGTCACAGAGAGCCACTGAGGCTAGCATAAACCGCCTAGAAGCGCAGGACCCACAGGGACAAGGTCAGAGCTCTGCCACAATACCTATTCTGGTTCCATTTTTCCTTCACTAGTAACATTTCATTCACAAAGTCTGACTGAGAATTCCTTTCCTGCTGTGTGAATGCAGCATACAATACATAGATTTATGGTGCATTGGCTTAGGAAGATCAGAGCAGCTGAAAATGAACACATTTGTAAGGGAAGATTATGGTTTTTCATTCTTGATGTGATAAACTAAATGTTTGTTTATATGGAGCAATGAAAAAATAAGACCGCTTGTGAAGAGAAAAATTTAAATTGGAATTAAAAGAAGAGTGGTGGTGGCTTGCTCCTATGGAATTCAGTAACAATGCTCTTACTTCAGTGGGACAGGATAGGGCACCAAAGCTGCATTAGGCTTAATTCATTAGGCTTAGCTCAAGTGACTTTGGTCTTTTTAAAAAATATTATGCAAAATGACTTAAGCCCCCAGTTCTCTTAGCACTACTGAGACTACTTCTAACATGCATAAAATTTACTTGTGTGAAAGTAAGAAAGGGGAACTATGCAAAAATGAGGTTAGTTAAATAGAAATTAAAAGGTACAGTGACTACAGTGAAATCCCTGCAAGCTGCGTGGACACTTTTCAAAGACACCATAATAGAGGCCCAACTAAAATGTATACGCCAAATTAAAAAACACAGTAAAAGAACTAAAAAAGAGCCACCGTGGCTTGGCTTAATCATGTAAAAGAAGCAGTGAGAGATAAAAAGGCATCTTTTTAAAAAGTGGAAGTCAAATCCTAGTGAGGTAAATAGAAAGGAGCATAAACACTGCCAAATTAAGTGTAAAAATGTAATAAGAAAAGCCAAAAAGGAGTAATGACAAAATGTTTTTTAAGCACATCAAAAGCAGGAAGCCTGCTAAACAACCAGTGGGGCCCCTGGGCAATCGAGATACAAAAGGAGCACTTAAAGATGATAAAGTCATTGCGGAGAAACTAAATGAATTCTTTGCTTCAGTCTTCACGGCTGAGGATGTTAGGGAGATTCCCAAACCTGAGCAGTCCTTTGTAGGTGACAAATCTGAGAAATTGTCACGGATTGAAGTGTCCCTAGAGGAGGTTTTGGAATTAATTGATAAACTTGACAGTAACAAGTCACCGGCACCAGATGGCATTCACCCAAGAGTTCTGAAAGAACTCAAATATGAAATTGTGGAACTATTAACTATGTTTGTAACCTGTCCTTTAAATCAGCTTCTGTACCCAGTGACTGGAAGATAGCTAATGTAACGCCAATATTTAAAAAGGGCTCTAAGGTGATCCCGGCAATTACAGACCAGTAAGTCTAACGTCAGTACCGGGCAAATTAGTTGAAACAATAGTAAAGAATAAAATTGTCAGACACATAGAAGAACATAAATTGTTGGGCAAAAGTCAACATGGTTTCGGTAAAGGGAAATCATGTCTTACTAATCTATTAGAGTTCTTTGAAGGGGTCAACAAACATGTGGATAAGAGGGATCCAGTGGACATAGTGTACTTAGATTTCCAGAAAGCCTTTGACAAGGTCCCTCACCAAGGCTCTTACGTAAATTAAGTTGTCAAGGGATAAAAGGGAAGGTCCTTTCATGGATTGAGAACTGGTTAAAAGACCGGGAACAAAGGGAAGGAATAAATGGTAAATTTTCAGAATGGAGAGGGGTAACTAGTGGTGTTCCCCAAGGGTCAGTCCTAGGACCAATCTTATTCATAAATGATCTGAAGAAAGGGGTAAACAGTAAGGTGGCAAAGTTTGCAGACAATACGAAACTGCTCAAGATAGTTAAGGCCAAAGCAGACTGTGAAGAACTTCAAAAAGATCTCACAAAACTAAGTGATTGGGCTACAAAATCACAAATGAAATTTAATGCGGATAAATGTAAAGTTATGCACATTGGAAGACATAACCCCAACTGTACATACAACATCCAATAGCTAATTTAGCTACAACTAATCAGGAAAGAGATCTTGGAGTCATCGTGGATAGTTTTCTGAAGACGTCCACGCAGTGTGCAGCTGCAATCAAAAAAGCAAACAGGATGTTGGGAAACATTCAAAAAGGGATAGAGAATAAGACAGAGAATATCTTATTGCCCTTATATAAATCCATGGTACGCCCACATCTTGAATACTGCATACAGATGTGGTGTCCTCATCTCAAAAAAGATATACTGGCATTAGAAAAGGTTCAGAGAAGGGCAGCTAAAATGATTAGGGGTTTGGAATAGGTCCCATATAAGGAGAGATTAAAGAGGCTAGGACTTTTCAGCTTGGAAAAGAGGAGACTAAGGGGGGAATATGATAGAGGTATATAAAATCATGAGTGATGTGGAGAAAGTGGATAAGGAAAAGTTATTTACTTGTTTCAATAATATAAGAACTAGGGGCCACCAAATGAAATTAATGGGCAGCAGGTTTAAAGCAAATAAAAGGAAGTTCTTCTTCACACAGCGCACAGTCAACCTGTGGAACTCCTTGCCTGAGGGGGTTGTGAAGGCGAGGACTATAACAGGGTTTAAAAGAGAACTAGATAAATTCATGGAGGTCCATTAATGGCTATTAGCCAGGATGGGTAAGGAATGGTGTCCCTAGCCTCTTTTTGTCAGAGGGTGGAGATGGATGGCAGAAGAGAGATCACTTGATCATTACCTGTTAGGTTCACTACCTCTGGGGCACCTGGTATTGGCCACTGTCGGCAGACAGGATACTGGACTGGATGGACCTTTGGTCTGACCCAGTATGGCCATTCTTATGTTCTTATGTGTGCATAAGTATTTGTAGGACTAAGGACTTAGTAATTTACTCCATTATTGAAAAATTCCCTTTATTTACATCTTTAGTTTATATTAATTATCAATTTTAGTGGCCCCGATCCTGCAGATGGCTGAATGTAGGAAGACCTTTGTGCCCACATGAAGTTTCACTGAAGTTTATGGAGCTCTGCATTGGCTCTGGGTTCCACCTGTGTCAAGCAGCTTGTAGGATCAGACCCAGAGCTTGTTCAAAAAACAAACAAAAAGACCCACCAGCGAAACAACCAACCAAAGGAACCCCTAACAGCTTCCCCTCTCACCTTCTGTAAATGCTGTGTGTGTTGTTAATTATTATTTTGTTTATTACAGTAGCACCTAGCGACCAACTGAGATGGGAGCCCCATTGTGCCTGGCATTGGGGAGACAGACAGCCCCTGCCTCAGAGAGCTCACTATCTGACTAGACAAGGCAGATATGGGATTTGACAAACAAACAGTGGGAACATTGTGATGGCTTACAAACTCCATGTCTGTGCCATGATTATTTTTTTGTGTGTGTGGCGTTTGTTTGTTTGTTTGTTTATCCATCCATCCATCTAGTTTTTTCCCATGATGGGGTGTGGGTAGGGGCTGTTAAAAAGGGACTGATGAACCAAAGATGAACCAAAAGACGGGGAGAGGAGACTCTGAAGTGGGGGAGTAAGAAAAGAAGGCATGGAGGGAAGGTGGCATGCGGATGAGGTAAAGTGACCATGCAGAAGTAAACAGCCAACCAACACAAGGGAAAGGATGTCCAGAGTAAAATCTGGGGAAAGAGCCTGATGACCTCATTAGAGGTTCCTGTTGCAGCTGCTTCTGTGTTCGTTGCTGGCTGGTCTCTGGTTGGCTCCTCCCAGGAATTTCTCTTTTTTCCCAATCCCACATGGGCCCTGGTGTCAGTCTGGTTCAAGATGGGATCTGGTTGGAAGGGGTAACCCTGGCTGAGTTTTATTTCCCCATCCTCCCTCCCCTCATGGTTCAGTTGTGCTGCTGCAGTTGCCTCTGTGTTTGCTTCTGGCTGGTTCCTCCCAGGAGTGGGGGATGTCCTGTACAATTCTGGCTTTGAGGGTATTTCTCCACTGCAGCTGGGAGATGTGATTCCCAACACAAGTAGAAAGACTCATGCTAGCTCAGCTCGAGCTAGTGCCTAAAAATGGCAGTGTGGATGTTTCGACTGGCAGAGACTCGGGGTAACCACCCAAGTCCAAGCCTGCCCACCGCTTGGTCCAAGCATGGATGGCTAGCCCAAGCTGTGACGGTGCCACAATGGCCATGCTGCTATTTTTAGGATGCTAGCTCAAGCTGAGCCTGTCCACCAGTGCTTGGAATCACACCTTCCTGCTGCAGTGTAGACCTATCCTGTGAGGAAGGGGTAACTCTAGCTGAACTTCATTCTCCCGCTCTTCCCACTAGTGGTGCAGCTGTACCTGCTGCAGGTGTGGCTGTTTGCTGTGGGATGTACGGTATGAGAAACACTGTACTCTTTAGTGATTTAAAAACATCTTTTTCTTAGGACCTGCAATATTTTGCAATTTTTAAAAAAAGGGTAAACAGAATTTGGGGGGGACTTGCATTAAAATAACACATCTATTTGCTGAAGAAGTTGCAGTTGACTCTTGCAGTTTCATAATGGCATTTCAAAGAAGGTGTTCTAAATATGTATACTTCTATAATACAACCATGGGTAGAACAAATGTGAAGTGCCTTATTTTTCTATATAATTTATTGTTGCTTTAAAATAGACATAAAAATTACTTACAGTAATATCAGTACCTGTGTTATTGAACATTGATGACTATTGTTTGTATTTTCTTGTCCCAAACTCCACATTGACACCAATGGGAAGATTTGCCTTGAATAAAGAAGGCAAAGTTGGCCACCCTGGAACTGCTAAAATATAAGAAAATTCCCATTCTGATTGTTCCCTGTTGCATCACATGATTTCTGGCCAGTAATAATTTTATACCAAATATTTTGCTCTTTCTCACAAATTGTTTTAGTTGGTTTATCTGCCCAACATCTCACCTTAAATATTGTGACATTCTTGTATGTTGCCAAATAAGCTGACCGGGTGTGTTTCTTTTTTTAATTCTTTGCCTTAGCTTGGCTTTGGATCTTTCCTAGGGATTATTGGAATCAACCTGGTAGAGAACAGAAGGCAAATGGTAAGCAACAAAACTTTTTTCTTTTCCTTTTAATATTAAAAGGCTTAACTGAAGAAAAAGAACGGATTTACTATCTGTAGTTACCATGACTGACTCCTGCAGTTCTTAGTCCCAGGGTCAATTGATTTAAATCACTGCTTTTAATCATGATTTTAAATCTGCATGCAGGACACCTTGATTTTAATCGTGTTTTGCATTTGTACTTTTTTTAGTTATTTTCCTAAAGAAAACTGACAACCATTAAAACATGTTGATTTGCAACTAAATATAGTCAAAGTCAAAGTTCCCCCAAGCCAATTGGGGGGGGGGGGGAGGAGGGGGACATTGTTAAGGCATGTCATTTTCATAGCCAATGGTACACAAGGGAGTGATGTGGCCAGGATCATATCTGACTGCCCTAACCCAATGGATTTGGTACCCATTTTGCAGCTGGGTGAACTGGAAGGGGCCTTCTTTTTGCTAAACAGGAGGATATGCTATATCTATATACATCAATTTAAGCAATTATATTGCTTGACTTAAATTTATTTAGATCTTTAATTTTCCATATTTTACATTATGTTAGAAAATGGTGAATGATGCATTTCTTATTTACTAGATTAATTTTTTACTTGTGGTTTGTGTCAAGCTCTATTTGGATGGAAATTCAATTAAAATGCACAAATGGCATTTTAATTTTTTTAATTAAATAAACCTATCTTAAATCTTGGGCTGAGTGCTGTAGCTATCTTTAGAAATTTCACATTGGTATCTTCTTCGCGTTTTGTCAAATCTGCTGTGAAGGTGTTCTTAAAACAAACATGTGCTGGGTCATCATTCGAGACTGCTATAACATGAAATACATGTCAGAAAGCAGATAAAACAGCAGGAGACCTACAATTTCCCCCCAAGGAGTTCAGTCACAAATTTAATTAATGCATTATTTTTTTAATGAGCGTCATCTGCATGGAAGCATGGCTGACGCATGAAGGGACATATGAATGTTTAGCATATCTGGCACGTAAATACCTTGCAATGCCGCTACAAAAGTGCCATGCAAATGCTTGTTCTCACTTTCTGGTGACATTGTAAATCAGAAGTGGGCAGCATTATTTCCTGTAAATGTAAATAAACTTGTTTCTCTTAGCAACTGTCTGAAAAGAAGTAGGACTGAGTGTACTTGTAGACTCTAAAGATTTACATTGTTTTGTGTTTGAGTGCAGTTATATAATAAAAGAATTGGCATTTGTAAATTGTACTTTTACGATAGAGATTGCACTACAGTACTTGTATGAGATGAATTGAAAAATACTGTTACTTTTGTTTATCATTTTTACACTGCAAATATTTGTAATCAACAATAATAATATAAAGCGAGCACTGTGCACTTTGTGTTCTCTGTTGTAATTGAAATCAATATATTTGAAGTGTTTTGAGTTACTCATGTGAGTTAACTGTGATTAATCGCAGTTTAATAGCCCTAATTTTTATCTACCGTCCTTAGTCCTTTCTCAGGAAAATCTCTCATTGACTTTAATGGAAGTTTTGCTTGAGTAAAAACTACAGCATTTGTCCCCTAAATGTAGTTATTCAGTTATCTTTCTGTCAAGATTTTGGGAACTATAGAATGCATTGGGAACTATAGAATGATATAGAATGCATTGTAGCCTTGTATCTACTGAGCATGGAAGTCATGTTAGCAATGCCTTCTGCAAAACTGTGTAGTCTCAAAAAAAACAGAACAACCACTTATAGCTCTTATTATCAAGGTGATAGCAGAGTTTCTCTGGCTAGTTTAGACATGGCCTGACCATTACATTTATGTAGGGGTTTGTTGAATTAGGTCTTACAAACCTGAGTTGCTTTTACTTGTGTGAGCACTTATTTAGATAATTGAGACTATTTGGGTGAATAAAGTTTTGCAGGATTGGGTCTCTAGATAGTGTAATACAGTTACCCTACTCAGTGCAAAAAGTGGTTGTGTGGTGGCGGAATATCACCGTTGTCCTATATGCATTTTACACTAGAAAAATCAGAGTTAAACTTCATGAAATACTACGACTTCAGTGGACCTACATTGAATTACAACAGCTGAGGAACTGACCAATTACTTTTGTTCTTTGCTATGTATTTTACAGCAGGTTATTTTTTGAGGCTTCCTGTTTTCTTTGTCAGTAAAAACTGAATTGCTTTTGCTCTTTATAAACAAACAGGAAAATAATTTCAGGACATTTTTCCATTGCACGGTAGTTTTCAGAATACATTTTCAAGTATTCCCCCATATTTGAACTTTTGTTTTGCATTTTTAACAACTGTTGCCTCTGATTTCTATATCAGAGTTCAGAGCTGTTAACAGGGCTAATTCTGACTCCTCATCTAAAGGCAAAAGAATGCTTGCCAGATGAGAATAGGATTTTGTTTTCCACTGTAATCAGGATAGTTTACTAGTTGTCATCACTCTTGACAGTAATATTACCTCTTAGTTTTTCTTTAATTCACCTCTGTTTTCCATCTTCTTTTTTTTTAATTGCACAACAGGCAGTCAAAAAGCCGTAAAAAATGAGTTGAATGAGATGGTGCTTGAAATTCAGACTGCATGGTATGTTTGTAACATTCATGCAATAAGGACTGTGGGAAATGCATGTCATAATTGCTTAGTATCTGTGTCTGTTTGCATATCCCAACATGAAATAGTAAAAAAGCAGGCTTTTGGTGTGAAATATGCCATTGTGGAATAGAAGGAAAAAAGCCTGTTGACAGATGAAGAACTGGGTAAGAAAATAATTAGAAGTCCAATTAAACTTGTCATCCATCAGTAGATCCCATAATCTGCAAAAACATTAAACATTATCAAAGGTAAGGATGAGTCAGTAGCTTGTTTTTAAATATTACAGAAACAGCTTCTAAAACAAGAGGGATTATGTCATAGGTTGTAAGATCCAGGGCTCTAATTATTCTCTTGAGTTTAACTTAGTGTGTTCTGTTGAAAGGCTTGGGGGTAGCTGAAATGGGTTTGCAGCCATCATCAACAAAGCGAGTACAAAAGCCCAGATAAGTATAGAAATTTTACAGATGTATCCTATTACTATAATGTAAAAATGGTTTATGAATTCAATCCAGTAGGGAAGGCAAATGATTTATCAGTGGCTCTAAGTTTAATTGAACTTAGTTTGAAATAGACCTTCAGTGTAATTTGAGACTAACCCAATGCAGAACTGAAAATGATATAGCCCTGTCTAATGACTTGATTCATCTTTGTTGTTTTAAATAATCTTAACATGAAAAATGAGTGTAGATTCAGCCACAGCAGAGAATTTTTTTTTGTATTAACTTACTTTTCTTGGTAAACCTGTTTTTTCCCCCTACAAGTTGCATTTATTTTCAGTCTACAGCTCCAAGTTCAAATTTGTTCATTGCTGTTAATTATAACTTTCTTATGATTGACATTTATAATGTTACTCCTGGGGGAGTTCTGTGCAAAAAATTAAAAATTCTGCACCAAAATTTTTTAAAATTCTGTGCACAATATTTTAAAATTCTGCAAAATCTGCATATTTTATTTGTCAAAATAACACTATAAAATCACATCAGTTTCAGTTATTTTGATAATTTATTTCAAAATACCTGTCAGTCAGTATGTCTGTAACAATACAGACACACACAAAATTCCCCCAGGAGTAGAAAGTTAAAGAAACCCCTATGATAACACAGTTCCTGTTTCTCTGTCCCCTCCCCTCCCCTCCAGAGGCCAGCTGTGGGGCACCCCCCACCAGCCCAGACACTCATGCCCGCTACCCCCCCCTCAGAGCCCAGGAATTCAGAGGGAGAAACAGCCTGATGCTCGAACCTGGGCTTGCATGGAGTTTCCTGCACACCACCTCCTTCCTTCAGGGCTTGCTGGGAACCACAGCTGTTGGGAACCCTCCAGCTCCCTCCCCCTCCCACGGCAGTGTCTTCTATGTGCAAGCTGGGCTCTGCCAGGTCCAGCAGCCCCTAGTGGCCGCCAGCAGCTCTGCAGTCCATTTCTGGGGGGGGGCGGGGAGGGAAGGAAATGCTGCGCACACAACATTAATTTCTGCACAAATTCTGCATTGCGCAGTGGCACAGAATTCCCCCAGGAGTAGTAATGTATGTGGATGTATGCTATGGTTAGGTAGAGTTAGTTCAGAAGAAATCCAGTGCTGATTGAACATGAAAGAAGGTGAAAGTTCTGTCTGCTAGAATGGCCAACAGTTTGCTTGTGCTTAAAGTATAACATCGATGATCACCATAGAGAGAGTAAAGTGATCAGATGCTCCACTATTTCAAACACTTACCAGACATAGGGAAGAATTTTAAACCTGATTCTGTGAGTACCCTCAATTCCCATTGACTTCAATAGACTGACTTAGGTATAACCCGAATTCAGAGGGAATTGGGAGTGCTTAGTGCTTGCAGGATCAGGCTTGTTATCTCACTGCTAAATAATTTAACATTATTTCTCTACTGCTGTTAATCTGCTCCCCTCTCTATGTTGTGCTGAATTTCCATCAACAAAACAAAATAAAAAATTTGCTATCAGCCAGTCAGGGGATGATCTCCCACTGGAAGAGGTAATTTGGAATGCTTGGAACAGGACAACAAGAAAATGACTGAACGAAAAAACGGTGTCTCCATCCCCCTCAAAAAAAAAAAAAGTGTACAGCTGGTGACACTGATAACAGAACAGTATACAATTAAAAAAGAAGAGCAGTAAAACTCTGTTATCGTCAGAGTGGCTACTTATTACAGTTTGGTGCCTGGAAAATACAATCACTCTAAAATCTAGATTTGATTGTAGGACATGAAGCAACCTTGCTTGCTGTCTTCTCACCTTAGAGTACAGAGTATTTGCAATTAGAAAATGAGATGCTGAAATTAAATACGGGGATCTGAGAGGTTGAGAATAAGCGAGGGTATCTATGACAGCAGAGTATGAGATTTGAATGTAGAGTCAGACTGACACACAGGGATGAAAGTGGATGCATTTTTCAGCAGCACTACCATTTTATTTCAGGAAGGGAAATTAGTAGCTCCATGAAAAGTCATAGGCTTTGTCTAAAGTAGGACTTAAAGGTGTGTTGTTAGACTGTGTTAGTGAACACTTAACACTTTCTAAAAGTATAGCATAGACAAGGCAGCATACACTTTAACATGTGATAAACTGTTTGGGTTAAAGCATGGGCTGTCCTTTAGCTAATCCTAGTGTTAGCTAACATGTACTAACCACACACCTTTTAAAAGCTATCCTGGAGAAAGCTGTATTATTTAGGTGGCTGAAAATAAAATGTCTGCACTGGTGGTGCCTACCAATGGTGGTGACAAAGGAGGGGAGAGTAGTGACTAGCAGATTTACAGGTACCTTTAATGTCACATTTCAGAGTAGCAGCCGTGTTAGTCTGTATCCGCAAAAAGAACAGGAGTACTTGTGGCACCTTAGAGACTAACAAATTTATTAGAGCATAAGCTTTCGTGGACTACAGCCCACTTCTTCGGATGCATATGCATCCGAAGAAGTGGGCTGTAGTCCACGAAAGCTTGTGCTCTAATAAATTTGTTAGTCTCTAAGGTGCCACAAGTACTCCTGTTCTTCTTTTTGCGGATACAGACTAACACGGCTGCTACTCTGAAACCTGTCATTACTTTTTGTAGTGACCCATAGTGTGTATTATGAAAGTATGAATGAATGGGTTTAAGAGCAAGCTCTATTTGCTGTAAAAGTTCTTTCAAAACAAGTCCCAATAAAATGATTGATTTATTGTTTCCCCCTAAAAGCCAGGGTTCTCCTTAGACAATAATGACATTTGTGTCTTCAACTGACAGCCAAGACAACAGAGGAAACAGCAGAGAAGCTGGAGTGAAAGGCAGTATCTCCAATATGCTTTTGGCTTCATTCGAGAGGGAAGCGAGTGGGGAGAAATAAGCTTTCTTTGGTTGTTCTCAGGAGAAGAAGTAAGGAGATTCATTTCTGAGGAAATTTTTGCAAGCTTTCTTGGTGGGTGTTTTCAAGTTAGTTGCACTACTTACCTTTCAAGAAATGAAATAGGCTTCTAGTTCTTGAAAGGGGTTTCTATAGCACGGTGGTTATAAAGCAGCACCTTTGAACCACTCATAGAAATGTTAAAAGCTACGAGATCAGATGGTTAACAGTGGAATATTAGGCCTTTCTAATATTGGTCCAATGCCTGTTAAAGTCAGTGGGTTTAATGACTTCAGTGAGCATTGGATAGAACCCATCCTGATCAGTATTAGCAAGATTTCTCCATTCCACAGCATTTCATTAAAAGCAAATTCAAACACTGAGACAGCACCATTTTTATACACAGTAGACCATGATTTGTGAGGTTGGAGAAAACTCCAGGATCAAGAAAAATAGATCGCTGCAAATCTCTTACCACCCTCCGTTGGAAGGGAAGTAATACCCCAACATGCTGTTCAGGGAACTGTTGCTAAGCATGGTATTTGGGTGTAAATGTGCTGCTACACTGAGATGAAATTTGAGTGGAAGGGAAGCGTGGTGAAAATGGGTTTCTCATGCTTCTGCTATGAGTTCCAACTGTTCCTGACCAATGGTGTGAGAACATGCCCGTGCAAGAGTGCAGGCCCAATGAGTGCCTTACCGGTTCCAATGTACAGTATTTTAAAGGGAAAATTTGTTCCCTATATAAAGAAAGAGCCACTGGTATGTGTTAATATGCTCACTTCTTCCCACTGAAGATGGAGGTTCAAATCCTGATTTAAGTCATAATGGACAATTAGTCACATGTATCTCCAGTGAAGTCATTGGAGTTATACCTGGTATGAAGCTTGCCCAGCGAATTCTATGATCTTACCTGTATCTTTGTGCATCAGAAATGATCGATTCTTTCATTTACAGGATCATTTTTAGAACTGCAATATGTAGATCGTAAACTCATTGGGGGCAGTGGGAACTTATCTAACTATATGGTCTGTGAGCATGATACAACTATTAATTATTATTTATTATGAATACCTGGCTCTTGGATAGTATAATAGTGTATCCTAACTATAACCCAGAACTATATTCCCTCTAGTCTGCTGTGGATTCTTCTCTTGTATATCTGACATCCTCTCTTTTACTGCAGTCAATAATACTGTTTATCTTTAAGAGAAACAATAAGTAACTAAGCCTCATGCAGTAATATGCTTTGTAGGGTGCTAATTTCCTAGGCATTAAATCAGGCATGCAACTCTCATTATTGTAGCTAATTCCCAGTTCTCAACAAAAAATTACCCAATAAAACATTATGAAAATAAAGTGTTTCCTAAGTGAACCAAATGTGAGCTGACACTCTAGACAATCTAAGAGATGTGTAAACACGGCTGGTGGCGTACTGTTTCTAGAGGAACATGGGAGACTTTCGAAAGAAAGAAAGAATGATGCCATGTTACCAATTAACTTGTGTCTCCCATCGCACATTAGAGCCAAAAGGAGAGAAAAATTAGGAAAAAGTTATTAATACACACGCACATAACATGCAACCTTAACAATGCTGTTGTGACTAGCTCCAGCATAATGTATCATATGTGATATGTACAGAATTCAAATTAATGTATAAAGAAATGGTTTAAAGATGTTATTGGCTCTTGTTTAGGATGGCCTGAATAAGGTTCTGATTCAGCAAGTCACTTAAGCACATGCTTAATTTTAAGCATATGAGTAGTCCCACTGAAGTCAATGTTTATAGCTAGGCGCATGTTTAAGAACCTTCATGCATCAAGTCCAAACTCAGCAGGGTTTCTTCCCATTATACACACCTGATTTCATTCTTATGCTACTAATGCTAAATTTCTTTTTGTTTCTCTGTATTGGGCCCTACCCTATATTCATTGCATTCCTAAAATCCCCATTCAGGCCTATGGGAATGCTCAGTGTAGAAGGAATGCAGAACCAGGCCATGGGACCAACTGAGGGAGAAAACTTGTTCACCTTAGCCTCTAAGGATAGAACAAGAAGCAATGGGCTTAAACTGCAGCAAGGGAGGTCTAGGTTGGACATTAGGAAAACGTTCCTAACTGTCAGGGTGGTTAAACACTGGAATAAATTGCCTAGAGAGGTTGTGCAATCTCCACCTCTGGAGATATTTAAGAGTAGGTTAGATAAATGTCTATCAGGGATAGTCTAGACAGTATTTGGTTCTGCCATGCGGGCAGGGGACTGGACTCCATGACCTCTCGAGGTCCCTTCCAGTCCTAGAATCTGTGAATCTATGAATCTTTGGTGCATTTCTACTGACTTCAGCAGATTTACAGCAGGCAACAGAGAACCTATGGAGTGAAATCCTGATCCCAGAGAAGTCAATGACAAAAGTTCCATTGACTTCAGTGAGGGAGGCCAGAATTTCACCCACAGTGCTTGAAATGCTTTTACATATGCTAATCAACATACACAGGAAACATATACAACTCCAATTTCCATCAAAATATGCCATCTGGTTTTGAAACCTTTATGACATGTTGGTATAGGCTGCTGAATAGGGGAAGGATAACAGTCATTCTATAATAGAATTCATTCTTTTTCATTTTGCATGTGTCTGAGTGTGTGAATATAATTCATAGCCATTATCAGACCATTCGTACCCAGATTTTATGAAAGGCCAAAGTGCCTTTTATTTCCTTTGTGTGTTCAGCACACAGAGAGCTGGCAGTATATTTCATTTAATTTCTATAATAATGTATGTATTTCAGTGGCTATCTTCCCCATCCTACTTCCCTCTCCAGCTGGAAAGAGGAGTAGATAGGTATTGTCAACCTGAATATACTATAGCCAGAGAAATATTTATAAAAAAGTATGAATGATTAATAAGTACAGCCAAAGCATAGTCACAAAAGATTTTAGAAAAAAATTATTTGAAATGATAAACAATTGCAGGTATGTATATGTACAATGCAACACATACACACACACACACACACACACACACACATATATATATACATGTTGAACACCAATGCAAGGAGGTAAAAAATAGATATTGTAAATATATAATGTATGTGTGTGCATTTGTAATATATATATATGTATTTATATAATTTTTCTCACTTTCTTACATTGATATTAAATATTCTACATTGTTATGAGAGAGACAGATTCATTAAAACAAAGAAGTCATTATAGGCATCAAATAAAGAATTACTGTTTGACAGCAGGAGACACTTTAGCTGTCTCTTGTGCCTTGAGTTCTGACACAGCTGAGGTTCGTGCAAATGCCTTTAGCAACTTGTACCAGTAGAAGGATTCATTGGCTTCACGGAATTTGCATAAAAGCACCCTAATACCACTGGCTGGATAGAATGGATAAAGAACTCGGGAAGAGTATAAGCAACATTTTAAATGATTTTCATTAAAGCAATGTGCGGTGGTCCATGGGTTTCACAGAGCACAAACGCTGAAAGGCAAAGTGATAAATGTTTGTTAGGAGCCCCTTAAACAGAGTACAGAAAATCCCGTGGGCACTCCAAACCGGTGCGGATGCGGATGGGTTTACATAGTTACTGTGTGATTGTGATTCTCAGACTGTTTCCTATTGTGAAATCTTGAGATCTCAGACCTTGAGACCCATTCCTGAACATCCCCCCTCCCAGTCCTAAACCTGCATTTTCTCTGCGGCAACTACAGTGTTTGGTTAACTGAAAGAGTTGCACGGGCAAAACTGGGAAGAAGGTATTAAAACAAACTGGATTTAGTGCTTGGGTATGTCCCTCTTATTTTGTAAGTTTAATTTCTTCTCATGTGGAGTCTTTATGTCCCTCTCCACTAATTCCCTCACTTCTTGCCAGTGGCCCCCACTGTTCTAACTTTTCTAGATGCATCTATGTGTTCCAGCCCTTCTGTGTGTTTGCTCTGCCATCACTTTTGGCATGGTCTGCCAGCTGATTACACCTGAATTTACAGCAAAGGAACGCGTGACAAGAAAAGAGACAAACCAGTGTAGTTGGGCTTTGTTGATTTTCTTTAAGTCAAAAGAGTCTCTGGAAATCTGTAACCGGGCTACAACGAAAAAAAAATTCCCAGGCTCAAAGACAGATCAATGGTGTATGGTCTAAGCTCTGCAGGCCATCTGGGATTGCCTTGTGGAGCACCACAAATACATGGGCTGCTGCTCCAAAAAGCAGAGAGTATTGGGTTATTATATTATTATTATTTCTATTATGGTAGCACCTGGAGATCAGGAATCGGGGCCCCATTGTTCTGGGCCTGCACAAAGGCACAGTAATAGAGATTCCCTGCCCCAAAGAGGTCACATTCTAAACAGACACAGGGACTGGATATGAAGCAGAGACATAGCGAGCGGCAGTGACTCACCCAAGGTCTCACGGTAGGTCAGTGCCAGAGCTGGGAAGAGAACCCAGGTTTCTGGACCCTGAGTCCAGTGTGCTGGCCCCTAGATTAGGCTTCCTCTCCATTGTGCATGCAGGCCTTAAAAAAATGGCATTGAACAAGAAATCAGAGCGGTCTAATGCTGTGCCATTCCCAGAGATTGTATCTAGCTAATAGCATTACTGTGACCTAAAATCCCTCCCGGCTATTACTTAGTCCAAGTTTCAGAGATCGTGTTTATATAAATTAGATTTTCTAAGCCGGCAGGTGAGAAGCAAAGCAACGTTTATTAATGGCAACTTAGCCTGAGGCCAATGAACAAAAAACCCCCAAAAGTATTACAATGAAACTTAAACCTAAATCTAACATTATAAAATGTTCAAATGCTTAAATAAAGATGGAGGACATAGACTATTAAACCAGAGCTGATCATCGGGCCACTTGTCTTTTTCTTATTTGAGCAGCTGCTCATAGGCAGGTTAGAGGGTTGTCCAATGTGTTCAAAGACCCCTCTCTTCTTTGGCAGCCCCTCTCTCTAGCACTTGCTGCCCAATCTGTGTCCATTCTTTTTCAGAGGCCAATTCATTGGCCCCGGGGAAGACAAGGGGAAGGGAGGCATGAAAGGGGAAAAAAAATCTGCAGAGAAATGATGCATCAAAACGGTCAAGAGTCCTGGTAATTGTCAGAAAGTGTCTTATCATCCAAAAAATGCCACTGAGTCACAGTTACTGAACACCAGGGCATTCTAATCAAATCCACTTCAGGGTTTCACAGCTGGAATCTGAACTTTAGCAGGCATAAGAAGTTCATTTCCCGCTCGGCTCATAGTTAACTGACAATTACCCCACATTTCAGTCTGAATTGGTTTGAACTCTGAAGACAATGACCTTTGGATTTGCCTCATGGTTTCGCTGAGGGAGGAGGAAGATCAAGATTCTGAGGCATCAGTTTAATTCTGGAGGTTGCATGAGGAGTAAAACTGTGTGCAGATCTGTGGCCAACTCAGCCGTAATACAGACATTTCCAAATGCTTCAGCGAACTGAAAAGTAAAGAACAAATTAATTTAGGGTCAAAAATAGTTTGTTTCCATTTTGATCTTTTAAAAAAAAACGTTGAAGGACATTTCGAAACAAAAAAAATCATTTTAAAGCAAAAGTCTGAAACATTTCATTGAAAAAATGTCAAAATGAAATGTTTGGATTTTTTCAGAATTTTTTTCCCCCCCTGACTGAAGCTATTCGGTTTGGTCAATCCAAATCTGCATTTTTCACTGAAAAAGTTTTCACCAAATAATTTCTCCCAGTTCTAATGAGAAGGAAGGGCTGTACTTCCTTGCTTTTGAATGAATGACAAAACTCACCTAAATCCATTCTGCGTTTGGCCTTTCCCTTTCACTACAATTCTGACCTTTCTGCACCCAGAGTAGCTAAGAGCCCTGTTAAGAGCCATGCCTTATCTGAGATTATGGATTAAAGTATCCTGTGTATTTTAGCAAAAGTCCCGTCCAGACACTCACTTTAACTCTGATGTTGCTGTTAGAGTGGAAGGTGAACATAATTCAGTTGAGGTCTTTTGAGAAGTGGGGAGGGACGTAGGCTTTGAAAGGCTTTGAACATCCCTCATTGAAGTAGCTCTGACATACATCCTCCTCCTCCTCTATTCTCCCAACCCTTAGAGCACTAAACAATGACACCGCTTGGCATGATGTGATGTTCTCTGATGAGGTATCAAGCAGCCTGAGTGAATGTTGGTGAGACTCTGGCTTCCTAACTGCATTTTTTATTGGGTGCTGCTCTCATCCTGTAGGGTCACCTGTCTGTGAGTGCATCCAATTATCTCAGCAATGCTGACTTCCTTTGATAATACCCTCAAAATGAACTGGCACCTGTGTCTTCCTTCTCCACTCTGCCCCAGGAACCATTTCTCAAAGGACGGAGAGGGGATAAGGACACCTTTGATTTGCTGTTAGGGAACCATTTGAACATTCTCTCATTAGTGACTTAGAGGGCTTTGCATAGATGGGAGGGGGCTGAAACAGCTGCCATTTTCTGAGCGCATTTGCTGACCGTCAGGGAACATATCAGACAGTGAAGTTTACCTCAAAGGGATCGGCCACATGACCTTTTGTGCTGAAAGGTTACACAACCTATTTGTTTCCCCTGAAGCAAATTGGGATTGATTTGTTACAGGGGCCTTTGGCAGCTAGAAACATGTCCTTAAAAAAAAATTAACAACATTCTCTGGTTCTGCATCACCCTCCGTTGATCAGGATGTGGGGCTCAGTATGGGAGGAAAGAAAAAGTAATTCCATAAATAACATTTGCTGCCTGGCTTTCAAGGCTGCACCTTGGCACATGATCTGATGAGCTCCCAATAAGTAAGCTTCTAGGGCTAAGTTAGACCATCTGTGGGATACTCTGGAGAAAAGCCCAATTGACTCAGGAGGTGGCGCTGGTCACCAACTTGGCAGTACTTTTCTACTTGAATCATTACTACCAATCACGGAAGTGTTAAAAGACACTGTGTTACTGAAGGCACCATCTTTCTGAGGAGACTTCAAAGTGACGTCCTGGGGGAAGGTTTTCAAAGGCACAAGGGCAGTTGGGCCCCCATCTCCCATCTGTGCCTTTCAAAATATCCCCCCTGATCAATTATCATGAAAAATCTCTTGGGACTTTTCACAGAACAGTGATGTCAGCCGAAAGCAAAGCCTCTCGCAGGAAACTGAACCACCTCTGAAATGGAGCCCTGGTTTATGAGCGAGCTCCATGTTCCACACCATTGGAGAGGGATGACTCAGACTAATCCATTTGGCCTTTTGTGGACATATTTTTGGAAACTGGCAGAACATTTGTCCCTAATTGCGTAGGTCTTGACATTGATAATAAGAACAAATTCATCTGATGCTGAGGATGAGATCCATACAAAGAATAGACAACCTCTAATAATGTATTTGTAATATATGGAGTTGTGCAGAGATGGCTGTGTTGGAGGAGCTTATAGAACCTCCTTGGTTACTGACTGGACTATTCAACGTATCTCCAGCAATCAGGCACTACTGCCAAATATTGCTGGGTAAAGCTGGTCTGAAAATCTTTGACAAAATCCTTTTCCTTTGGAGAATTCAGTTTCACCGAAATGGAAATATTTTGCGAAATCCTGTCGATTTTGCCAAACTTTCATTCTGGAGAAAAATATCAGGACAAAAACGTTCTGAAAGGGGACTGTTTTGATTTTTCCTTTCAAAATGATTTTTGGTTTCAGATTTTTTTTTTATATTACATTATAGGTTATTGTTGACACAAAATGTTTTTTTTTCCCCAAAATTTTCTTTTATGGACAGGTTTGAAATTTTCGGGTTTCGTTCCTCATTAGGACGAGAACAAATTTTTGATCTCTCCAAATCTGTGAAATGGAATTTCTGTTCTCTGCACAGCTCTACTTCTGGACATGCCTATGCTGGGGTGTTGTTTTATTCTTTTATGGGAACTTTGACTGTAAGCTCCTTGGGGCAGGCCTGCCTTTTTCTCTGTGCTTATATATAGTACAATGGGGCTCTGGTCCATTACTAGGGTTCCCAAGAGCTACGGTACTTGAAATAAATAATAATAATAATGAATAATAGTGACTGTGGTAGTAATGTTTCTGACTCCTAAAGGAGAGGACAGCTGTAGAGAGCCAAGTGCTCTCCCTCTTACACTGTTGCTACTGAATTGTTCCATGTCTGAGTAGAAAAATCTGTTTTCTGAAAGAGCAAAAGAACAAAAGAAAGAAAGAGTAATTTAAGTGGGGGAGGGAGCTGCTTTGAGCTTCTATTGTTGGATAGATTTGTGATAGTTTGGATGAATTCTAACTGCGTCTTCCATATAGCTGCATTAGGAACAATACAAATAAAAGCAAGCAACCACCACAACAAAAACCCCACTAGCTAGCATTTCCTTCTGATAGCATAGCCTTCCCATGCTATTGTCAGAGGAAATTCTCAGACACACTCATCTGGATTTATTTTGCTCTATCCTTGGCAGAAGCTGGGGGCTGCAGCTGAGAGGAGAGAAGCAAGGTTGAATGAGGAAAGGGATGTAAATCCCATGTGAGGATCAGGTGGGCCCAAAGCCCATTAAGTTGCATGTACAATTCACGTGTATTGCTTTTATTCAGGTTACACTCATTGCCCCGAGAGGTGACATTTTTTGTTCTGACCCACTACAAGGCTGAATGTGGCATCTACATCTTACTGCCTTGTGTGTTATGAGAGAGATAAGTGGAAAGTGTCTCACCATGCCCTTTCAGTGAGTGGTGGCTTGCTTCCCTCTGACCCCTCCCTCTCTGCCTTGTTTACCGCCTCAGTAACCTGAGAGGAGGTGAGGAAACAGAGACTAGTGAAAAGGTTAAAGTTGGTGTTTGCAAGTCTGCAAATAGGTTATAGCTTCGTTTGAGCTGGATCGGAAATACTAGTTGTCTGCTGTGCGTGCAGCGGTAGCAGTGCAGGATCAACTTCAGAAGGCTGAGCGTTTCAGTCTGGAACACACATCCGAAAGTTTGGATGTTTAAAACCTACTTCTTGTGAGATTTTCAGCATCATTTTTCAGACCCGAGGTGTTTGAATAGTTGGAATCAGATTTGATTACCCGTCCATATTTCTGGGGGCTTCTTCAATTGAAATCTCCAGTCTTTTTTCCCCCAAAGTTGTCCATTACAAATGGAAAAAAAACATCGACTCCTTTGCCCGAGTTGCCAAACTGAGGGGTTTGTAAAATGACGCCAGACTTGGAAAAGTCTGGGTGAAAATCTCCCAGGGTGTGAATGCAAACAGAGTTTTAGCCACAAATAGTTTGTGTTGTTTCTAGCAGATATTTCACCGAGCTCCCACAAATCATCCAGGGGTTGAATCAGCAAAACAACAAAAGTGAAGCAACTTTTTGGAAAGGCTGCTCAGCGCATTGTATTCCAGATTCCGGCGCTGCCTAGGAAATGAGACATCGAATCACATACTGCTCAGAGACATTCCGTCTTAAATTTCTGCCTGAGTGCTTTCTGCACATTTTGGATTTTCTCAGTGATTACTGTGTCGCTCAGGTGGTCCCCAAACTTCTGCTTCAGTAACACCCTAATGATTTTGATGCACCGCTCATCCATCATGGGCTTAGCCTCCCGAAAGGTGTTCCCTCTCCTTCCTGTGATGGAGTGGCTCTGTATATAGTCGGACGTGAACAGCTTGTAGAGTAGTGTTTTGCAGGCGGTGCTGATTTTCTGGTCAAATCGGATGGCCTCTTTTAAATGCTCCTTTGTGTAGCCATTAAACAATTCCACCACCTCGCCTTGCTGCCTATGGGGTTCTTCCTGAAAGGACAGTGACTCCAGCCGCTGCACCTTCCGTTTCAGGGAGAGGACCTCTTGCTGGAGATCTACTATGATTCTCTCCAGTTGTTCAATCTTCTCGGACCTAAAAAATAAAATAAAGCATATAACATGCATGCCTGCCACAAGGCGCCATTCTCCTTCAGCTAGCAATGGGTGTGATGTGTCAGTTCAGGATGCATTGCCCATTGAATACCCAAGCTACCTGAGTCTGAAAAACTGGGCTGGGAAGAGCAGACTTTCTCCTGGTACTAGTTAAGCCAATGGGAGTTTGCCTGGGTGAGGATGTAATGATCTTTCCTTCCATTTCACTTTGCTTTAAGCTTTGGTTAAAGTTTAAGATGGAGTTATCGGTCTTTTCTTATTTTGTTCCTATTCTCAAAGTTCCAGAGGGCAGGTATGCACAGTATGAAATAAGACCCGCAATGACGGGAACACAGAAAAGTGCAGTGCCGGAATCATGACATGACAAGAGATTCAGAGCTTTAGAATAAAATAGTTTATAGACTTGGTTTCATGATCCCACATTTCTGATGCAAGTAACAATAACAACAGTGAGATAGAACTATGTTTGGGTGGGACAGAGGTCAATCTGAAGGTTAAATGATGGAGAGCTGAGATATATATGATGCTGCAATATTTTGAAGCCAAGTTATCATGATACCAGCATATAAACCTTCAAATCTGAAAGAGGCTTCAACCTGATTCTTATCATGTTGATGGTTTGGGCTCTAACAATTGCTGCATGTTGTCTGGTAGCACTAATCTGAATGCTTCTATTTTCTGAGTATTGAGGGAAATGTAGCTATGTGCAGGTACCTGTAACTTCATCTTTCATTAATTACCTTTCCATTTCACCAGGGCCAAAATCTTTCGGAACTACCTCAAAATCATCTGTTTCTGGGGAACCTTCAGTCTTTGGTTCATCACAGCTAGAAAAAACAAACAGACCAATAAGCAATGGAAGAAGATGCTTCATATTTATTTCGTAAGTGCTCTGTGGTCTAAAGTGTAGAACGCAGCATTTTGTAAAAACCCATCAACTTCCAATTTCATGTGGCATCCCAAGTAAACAAGGTAAATATCTCGCAATACTTTATGTCACTGGGCAAGCATGTCAGATGAATGTCACTCCTTGTGTTTTACATAGAAAATATCAGCAACTTAAATACATGTTATATGTTATGGACTTGATTCCCCACTAGCTTACATGTGTATAGTCTCTTACAAAACAAGTGCAAAAGGGATGCAGAATAGTGCCATTCATGGTTTGGTTCATACTTAAATAATTACATAGGGTGCGGGGCAGTGGAAATTCAGGCCCTCACTATGACTTCAATTGAGTTATTCTAGATATACGCTGGTGTAATTGAGGGCAGTTTCTGGCTCTATGTGGAGGGCAGGAAGAGCTGCCCCAATTTCCGCTTTGTCTTTCATGGATCCTTTGTGGTTGGAATAGGCAGCTCTCCTCAATTGCCCCAGATCCCCTGGAACTCCCCTTTGTCTGCAAAGTTCTGTGAACAAGGCAGGACAAACCAAACTATATGAAGCAAACAGCATCAGGAAATGGAACCTCAGCTACTGAACCACAAGTGGAGACTATGAGAAGCACTTTGAAACCTTCACTGTCCTTACTGCTTATGGGAATATTACCTGTTGGTACAGATGTGCTGCTGACACTTAGCTAGAATGCCATCTGACTTCCTTTTCATTGTCAGGGTGATGTAATCTAGAAAGAGGGTTGGAGCAGGAAGCAAAAGACAGATGTGAAATTGTCATCACCTGGATCCATTGGTCTCCAGAGCATGTTCATCTAAGTACTTCTGCTTGATGTTCCCAAACTATCAACAGCATGACTCAAACATGCTGTCTTTGGCTTGAACTGTTGGATTTTGTTACAGGCAGAAAGAAAAACCCTCGTCACAATATATAGTTGAAATTCAACCACAATATCCTTAGCAAGGCACTGTGCCATCAGTGAAGAAACTGGGCAGGGGGAACATGGCTCATGAAGGTGAAAAGGTCTATGGACACTAGTGTAGTCATCAGCACAAATGACAAATACACAGAAAACAAGATTGTTACTTTCAGGGAGGTTTAGTATGTGTGTATGGATGAATTGATAGGTAAACCCGAAACAGGTCAGATGTTCAGGTCAGCACATTTTTGGGTTCTTTATAATTAATTAAACAAATACATTATATTAGGAGTGTGGTTCACTGGCTTGTGTGGAAAGAATTGTGAGCGTATGAGAAAAGAGCTGGCGATCTCAGGGTTCTTTGGATCACAAAAAAGCCACTACCACGGAGTTGTCACCTTGGTGAGCAGCCCCACCAGAGAAGAGACACCAAGGATGCAAAGGACTCAATTCTCACCATTACTGTTCTCACACCCAAGGAAAGCACATGTGCATTGGTCTGCAGCCCACGCTGCAGAGAAACAGGAATTCAGAGCCCCTCTGACACTTTTCACTAACACCAACATTCAAATTTAAAAATAGACAGGAGTGGAATAAAATAAAACATTTGACTCATTCACAGACAATAATCCCAGCTGGTTTACCTCTGGTAGCTGTGCCAGGCCTTGCTTCTTCATTCTGGGATGTTCCAGGCACAGCCAGGGACAAGAACGGAGATGGTGATTTGAAGGCCGGGGAAGAGTGGTGAGGTGCTGACATTGTGCAGTGGGATCTAGTCGTGCTAGTCAGGATGCGCCTCTCTTTTAAGACAGAAGAGATGGCAGCATCACGCTGGAGCCCTGCGTCTTCATCCCCGACCAGCGGTTTGACATAGAAGCTCCGGTCATCGCTGTATTTCCGAGAGGAACTTCCTGGCATCCATTTTGGAAAAGACTTCCTTGATTTTTTAGGTTGGGATGGCAGCCCACTGTGCACTGCTGGTTCGTCTTCTGAAACCAAGATGGGGCCCATATGGTAATTGGCAATACCACAATGACATATATTGCAACATCCCACAGCAGTGTTCTCAGTCCTTACTACATGGACGCTGTCGTACGATTCATAAGGGATGGGACGAGGATATATTTATGATCCATCCATTTAAAAAAACCACACCGGGGTATAAGGTTAATATAGTTAATTACTTTCCTCCAGAAATACACTGCCTGCTGTATATTAATCCTCCTGTGCAAAACTCCATACTTACTTAGCTTCTCAAAGAGTTGTCTATTTTCCTGCAGCCTTTTCTCTAAGATATCTTTATGCTCTGTTGGAAGAAAAGGGTTTTCAATGTTCATTTCACTTGTTTCTAGAGGCTGCTCCCAACAGGCCTAAGTCTAGGATGGATAATGATCACTTACCGCTTATGCCTTCCACAACCCCCCAGTACAGACCACTGAAGCCAGGGCAGCGGGCTAGCACCTGCTCCCCCACCATGTAGCGATGAAATGGCTTTCGGGGTTCTTTGATGTTTTCGATGTTGATCACACGGCTGCCATCTGGCCAGCTGATTAGAACGAAAAGCTTGGCAGCCATTTGAACCCGCACCACCTAGAAGAGAAGAGAAGGAACACGAATACATGCCAGGGGTATTTCACCCTTGCTGGAGCTATGTTCCGGAGCATACCCACTTGAATTATTAGGGACGCAGAGGGAACTGCTGGTTGCCTAGAACTTTTGGAGATCAGGCCTCTTATTTGGGTGCCCAATTTAGGAGCCTGACTTTAAACATCCATCTTTGAAAACCTTGTCTATTATTCACTGTGAAAAGTGCGTTCAGCTTTAGTGAAAACAGACCACTGCTTGCTTACAATGTTCTTATGATGCCTTGTTCATGTCTGATGAATGCAGCGTGTTTATCAGCAGTTTGTGAACTGCTGAGGGTCATTCATTAAAAGGAGTAAATTCAAATATTGTGCATCTATTCAAGGACTTGCTTCAGGGCAAAAATAATGCTAACAGCATGAATGTCCTGGAGATAATCAGGTTAACTGGGAGCTCAGCTGCTGGAGCGGGGAGTGCTCTGGTAATGCCTACAAATCACGAGAATTACAAAAATAACCAGGCCAGAGTGTTTGTAACCACTCTCCAATTCCTGACAGCAGATTGTTTTCGCACGGGTATTTGTAATCTGGCAATGCTGGGACCACCTTGGAGTACAGTCGCATGCCAAAACGCTGCCCACCGTGATCGGGAGGAGCACAGAAGCAAACCCCACCTGGGAATTTGTATTGACGATGAGAGTAGCACGTGAAATACTTGTCCCTGCAACAAATTCCCTCCCCTCCTTTCTGCTGTTCCTCTGATTCTCGGCATTGTGTGTACTGAACATTTCCAGTTTTCTCCTGGAGATTGCTCATTGAAGCAGCTACAGGTATAGGCCTGCGGGGGGTGTCGTTGTTGTTGTCTGTTTTGTTTTTTTTTTTGAAAGAGAAACTGCAGTTCCAACAATGACATGTATCATCTCAGGCCACCCAGAGCTGGCCGGAGCAGTGAGAGCTATTTGTCTGGTGCTATATAAAATACTTTGCATTGACTTCAATGGAATCATGGCAATTTCCCATCAGCTGAGAATCAGGCCCACTGTACATGAAAGGCAACACAAAAGATAAAAGCAAAAAGGAACTACATGCATTTTAGCCAAACCCAATAGACCGTTCGGAGTAAAATGAAATATCCTAGGAATGAGAATATTATGCTCTGAAGGCATGCTCTACCCCCGCCGAGTGAGAGCAATACTGCAAACAACATTTGAAAGCTAAGTTCTTTGTGGGATGGGGGAAAGCCAAATACTTCCTTCAAACCCAGATTTTCAGGAAAGTGAATGCACATTTGTGTGCCTGGTTTGCATGCTCATGTAGCGTGTCCGCTTTCATGACAACTGCAAAGGAAAGTTTGGACATGTCACTGGTCATTTGCACATGTGGCAACAGCACTGCACTGAAAACGCCCGATTCTCCTACCCGGCGCTCAGCGTACTTTGGGCACAAACAGCCCAAGTCACACACCGCCCTCTTCCAAAAATCAGAAGTTACTTTGAAACAAGTTCTCCTGTGATCAGCCAGGCTAGGTGGTCAGCGGAGAGACCATGTGGCCCAGTGGCTAGCCATGAACTAGGAGACAGGAGATTTTAGTTCTATTCCATCACTGGCCTGCTGGATGAGCTTGAGTAAGTCAGTTCCCATCTCTGTACCTCAGTTTCCCCATCTGTCAAATAGGAATAATGACACTTCCCTCCTTTGTAAAGTGCTTTAAGATGCATGAATGAAAGACTCTCTATAAGAGTACTAGTATTATTGCATGACTTGATCTCTTTTTAAGCACGCTCGAGAAAATGTGGGTGTGGCTTTTCCACAAAGAAAGCCAACTCGGTATGAACCCCTGCAAAGGCAGAGTGGAAAGTGTTGATCACGTTAAAACTCACATGCCAATGAGAGCATTTATAGGCCCCAAACCATTGCAAATCACTGCTCTATTTTAGCGTGCAAATTCTGTCATCTGTGCACACAGCAGGAATTATGCTTAACTTCTTTCTGCCAAAGAACCACACACCTCATGGACTAGAACCTCAAAGTCATTCTGCTCTGACTTCTATTTAAAACAGGCAACTGTTTTCTCTTAATTTTGCTTAGAATACTCCCTGTGAAAATGCTATGTAGTCTTTCCTTTACGACTGGAGCTGCACAAGTTAGTTTCCAGTGTAAGTGGACAGCTCCATCCATTGTTATTATTATTTGTATTACAGTAGCACCTAGAGGCCTGAATCAGGGCCCCATTGTGCCAGGTGCTGTACAAACACCTAACATGAGTCAGTCCTGCTCTGAAGAGCTTACAAATAAAACTGACGAGACAGACAAAGGGGACAATCTGAAAACTACTCCACTTAGGAACGACCAATCAGTTGCACACATTAAAATGGGAAATGACTGCCTAGGAAGGAGTATTGTGGAAAGGGATCTGGGGGTCATAGTGGGTCACAAGCTAAATATGAGTCAACAGCGTAACGCTGTTGCTTAAAAAAGCGAACATCATTCTGGGATG